CCTGGAACTCCTGATATGGGGTCAAAGGAAGAGCTGGTTGGATCTCAGCTTTGGTATTTTAGGAATTTGTAGATATGTTTAATATGATTTTTTTTATTGACTGACTTAAAAATGTGGACATCTTTCAAATTGGGATTGGGGGTACAAACCCCTCCCCCCACCCAACGAATACAAGCCTGCTCCTTGATCAAGAGTGAATTAATTTTCTACTTACCCGGAAGGCAGTGGCTGCGGTCTTGTCCATGTCGTAGAATGAGAATTGTGATCTACATAATAAGCTCTTCCTTGTTGGTCTGTGCGCCTCTCCCACCTTTAACAAAGTTCAAAGTTCATATTACACCAAAAAACAATTGGCAGCAAACTAATATAATTGGGCTAAACACACAATAGCGGTCCAGCGCCGGGGCAAAAGTAGAAATTTCCTCCATCCGGCAAGCATGGACCCTTCCTCGTAGATGGCACTTGTGGATGTTGGATGAAAAATATTATATATTCCAACCAATTTTATTGTGATAGTTTTTCCTTAATATTTTGGACTAAAACATTTGTAAGGTATAGTATAACTTCAATTAAAATGTTTTTTGTAAATTAACATTGAGGCATACGATATTTATAGAAAACTGCTTATTACTATGATTATTAGGGAGGTTTCGTACGTGAACGAGTGCGGTTAGTGTGACAGATACGTCATCCATTTGACGTGTGGACGACACGTATCCCGCTCACTACACGTTAGCGAAAAATGTGTAGGGAAATTTTGGATTTCTAGTAGGATCTTCGTTTATTTTTACACATTTTACGTAAGTTTAAAAAATAAATGTATCTTTGAATATGTACGTGCCATTTTTGTGACATTTGATGTATGAATCCAATATATTGAGTCTTATTTTTATACTTGTAAACATGTTGTGTCTGGTGACTGCGTAGCACATCATATTGGCAAAAGAGCATTTTTGCTACTCCTAAGCTCAACCAACACATCTCGGTCCTCGTTCATCTTGTTAATTTGTTGTGTTTACAAAATTTAATATAATATCATAATTGAAATTTTAAAAAACATACCCGGGTGGTAGGCCTTCACTGCCTGCGGTGTTTGAATTCGGTGGGGGCGTAGGTGTGCCGCCATTAGTTTGTGATACAGATGGTGTAGTTGTAGTAGTTGTCCCACTTGATGATGGTGGAGGAGGAGGGAGCACTAAGTAGAGATAAACACAATATGGATTAATACCAGACTTTCTACTACAGTTTAAAATAGAAAGAACAACATTTAACATCTTATCTACTTGTTAAGCCATGTTGCCTTCACTAACTCTGTCATGAACTGCTATTGGTTTACATCGTTTCATTTATCCATTTCCATAGAAACAATTTGGAGAAGCTTAGCATTACTTTAACATCCTCCCATCAGCCAGTAGTCGCAAAAAATAAACAAAAGAATAAAACCAATGGGTCTGACTTTTAGGGGTATAATTGTAAGATTTAATTGCTTGACATGTAGTGCATTTGAAAAAAAACCAAAAATTATAGTCTGGCATATCAAATCCTCAGTGGAATATCTTGGGGGTGCTTGGGAGATATATCTCCTCATCCCTCACCCCCCCCCCCCCACAAAAAAAAGCTTGTACCCCTCACGACTGGAAATGTTCAAGAAAAAAATATTACACTCAAATAGTTAAAAATCACCACATATCACTTTATTTTACGAGCTGGCAAATGATTACTTAATCACTGAGGCCCCCCTCCTGTCTCTTATACACATCTAGATGTGTATAAGAGACAGTTTCTCCTAAGCACACCCACCCCCCACCCCCCATTTCAAGACTCTTAGAAATGCCACATTAAATCCTACACCACATCTGTATTACATTAAGTTATTAGAGATAAAAACCAACCAAAATGACTTCTGGTCAACATTGTCGGAAGCTTAAGTAATCTGTTTCCTTCCAGACACTTTTTAATCAACCAATAGAGAAACTTGGGAGTTAGGAGTACAGAAAAGCTATCAATTTGTGCATATATGTCAGAGTTGAGTATCAAACTATAAGAAAATCGTACATTTACAGTGTAGCATTTGTGTAAATAGGTACAATGGTATTTGATCTTACGTCTAGTAGGGGGTGCTGGGGCACGATTCACTGGGGGCAGGGAGTTGTTGTTAGGTGCAGCCCTATTCCTTCTTGCAGATGGAGAATCATTTGTTTGACCCCGGGCCTCATTTGTGGTTGCTGTTGTGCCTGTAATTAGCGGGTGAGTAGAGGGTCTTGGACTTCCTCGACTGATGTCACCATTGCCTTCAATTAAAAAATAATAACATTTGAAATTGATTTATTATTTAAAAACAAAAAAATTAGGAAAAGTATATTGTCAAGAAGAGTGATTCAATGGATTTGGGTCAAGGAAACAGATTTTTCTAGTTCATTACACAGATACAAGCAGTATTCGATCATTTTAATACCACTACTGGGTAAAGTGTAATGACTGTTCAAATTAGTGAATTTTACTTATGTGACTTTTACTTAAGTGACTTTCTTTCAGTGACAAACAACTACAAATAAAAAGCAATTTTTTTCTCAATACATATTCTATTACTAGTATATTAGAAATTAATTAAAGACTAACAAAATTTTAAATCTCTCCTAATTAAAAAAACCATCTGGTAAAATAAATGCTTAATTTGAATAAATAAATTAATTGGATAATAATACAGTAAGGATTATATCAATGAAAAATTGTGAATTACCATTTTGAAGAGTTTGTCTAAATGGTGCTAAGTCTCTCTCCTCGACTGCTATTCGTAGCAATTTTAACAGTAGTTCTGATCCTCTACCTGACTTCCCTTCTGACTTCAACTGCAGTTTATATTCGAAATCAATAACTACGCAAAAATTGAAATAAAAATGTACTTATCATTTCAATGTCATTTATTTATTATATATTATAACAATATTTAAATTAATAACAACATTACTGACCTGAAGAGGTCTAATACAGCATATAGGACAAAATATATAATAGAATAAGTAGTAAAAAATTATGGTTCTATTATCAAAAAAAATATATACCAAAATGGGGTTGCTATATATTAATGTATACCTTATATTGTAATATGCATACTTTACCAAGGAAAAACAATACTTTCAGATAAATCATTATCATGAGGCATGCCATCCCTAAACCACTGTACTGTGACAATATGCTAAACTGTGTAATTAGTATTACAATGTCATAGTCTGTGTACTTTGTCCTTAAAAGCCGTTAATACTTTACTCATAATTTGGCCAATAATAATTCAATTCTAGTAAATGACTCATCATTTTAATACTTTTAATATGAAGAATATCGATCTACTGTATATCAAAAAGGCCATTTTTATTTTTTTGGCCATAGTTGCTGATTTTGAAATGGCATGTCTCATACTATGTATTATATTACACTCTTAACTTGTCATTAAGCAATGATAAATTGGAATATCATTTACATTAATTCAGACATCCAGTATTCATTGATTATATATCAAATCACAATACAAACATACTTAGATAAAGCCATAAAAATAATAGTTTATTCAGAGATCCCAAGTCTACCGAAAATCGCGGGTTTCTTCCGATTTTTTAGGCCATCTCCCGCCCTCCCGATTTTTATTAATTTTCTTCCGATTTTTTTAAATATCCTGAAAATTCCACAAAAAATGTAATTTCCACGATGTCAGAGCAATGAAACAAAATTTATTTATCTTAAGCCAATATATTATGGCACTCGCTCAACCATAAAAATGTCATAAGCTAGACCAGGGAGTTGTTATTTAAGTTGTTTATCTAAATAACAGCTCCATGGCAAGGTTAGGCTTGGATCTGTGGTAGACTCGATTTGTTTATCTTCCATGTTACGATCTTTAGCATCCAGCGCCGACCTCAATCAATGAGATGGCTGTCAGTTGAGTAAAAAAATTTCAACAAATGAACGAAATCAGAAATCACATGGATGATGGATAGATAGATGGGGGAATATATATATTATATATATATATAGATATATTATAGATATTCGAGAGAATATAATATTACACTGTGTGTAATGAAACAGGGTTTTAAATACAAGGTATACAGTGTTAAAATGAATAAAAAATACAATGAAGACACAAGCATTTCTTTATAAACGTTTGTTTACGATGATAGGACCTATGATATTCCTACTGAACTACGGGAATATGTGGTATAGGTTACATGGGAACGGGCATGGACAGCGACATGCCAATATTTATTTATAAGCGCCATTCCCGAATAAGCGCCCCATTGAAGCTCCCAAAAATTTATAAGCGCCACTGCGCTTATTCAAGCATTTACAGTATATAGTCATGACGTGCCTATATATGGTCAAGATGTGATGTCATCATGACCATACTTAGGCCATTACTTAATACTTACTTTTCCCGTTGTGTTGAAGAAGCAGAGGAAGAATATCCAAGGTGGCGCTGTAGCACAAGCTGTCACTTTTAACCAAATGATGGAAGTAAACCTTGAAGTTGAGTTTAGACTTGGGTTCAACAAGGCTGCAAAAACAAAACAGAATTCATGGATAATTGGGTCATAGGTCATGCATTACCTGAATCTGACTATGTGAACCTCATACTTTGAGAAAATTTACTTTCATTTTTTATGGTCACATGAGTACATTCTGTATGCAGAATTAGTTAGGAGTCTTATATTATTTTAATATTTTAAAATCTTTATTCTTTTACTATTTTTTATCCTACTCATTTTCTCCTATACTTTGATATATAGTGCATTTTGTATATTTTTATACTGATAACCCTTTATATTTTCTATACATTTCAATCTTTTTAAAATACTATTGAAATAAAAAATAAACTGTACTATTCAATTACTATACACCTCAATGTTGCATCCACAGTTGTTACCACTACTATCATTATCCTTATATGTTCTTCAATAATTTAACTACTACTACTACTTTTGAATTCATTTTTTATGATTTTAATTTAGTCTGTGAGTGATGACAGCACTTTAAATTCAATTCGTATTTTACAAAAACCACAAAAACTTATTATTTGATTGCCTGATTCCTGGTCTACCGTTGCACACCTCCTAAAAACACTTTAAACACTTGACAATCAAGTGCGTTTCCTGACCTGGCATTAAGAGCATATACCAAATTACTCTTGAATGACCTATCTACGAGACTCAAAATAATTCAGTACAATAAGGTCATTTGGTCATACCAAAACCACCTAAACTCAGAGGGTGTGTTCGGGCGAGAATGGGAAAAAGTTACATAGCGTTGTTACTGGTATTGTATCCGCGGGTGGTCTACATGTTTGTGCAGAACTCGGCTTTCAAAAAAACCATTAACCCCGGACGTAAAACCTAAAGTATTATGCAAATGATGAGTTTCTGTCAAGTTGACCTGGACCCTTGCGTCACCCGACGCTTTAATTAAGAAACGCACTTCGGTGTTGGTTGAGTTAGGCCTCAGTTGAAATAATATATTTTATCGATCTTTTCAGTTTTGTATTTGGAAATAAAATTTAAATGGAGCAGGCACCATGAAAATTTAAACAGACTTTACTTCAGGCACGTGTTGAAAAAATTAAAAGGGATTATAATGCTCCCTGTTGCTAAAGCATGTTGTTTTGCTCCCCCAAAACACTGTAATTTGCAGCGTTAGTTTATCAGCTGATATCAGCAGACGGTCCGTGTTTAACACCTGTTCAGGCTAGAACTAGAAGTGGCTGTTTCCGGATTCATCCCGTTTTACTCGCCCGGAAGCATGTTAATGCAGTACTGTAATCATATTTTTATTATATAAAAAAAAATTTGGGTGTTACATACGACCAGTACACAAGAAAATTTTCTATCGTAATTTGCTATTTTAAGCCTCGTCTTCAACGCAAGAATATACGATCTAACAAAAGCATGTTCATTCCAATCTTTTAGCTGATTTTAAAAAAATAGAGAATATTCCTGAATTTTGACTTACATTGTGAAGTCCTCCTTCCATGCTGGGTTCCATGATTTCTTGATAATTTCTGTTTTACGAGTGTTCTTTGCATCAACTGTCAATGAGACATATGTGTCTGGCTTGCTTGCAAATAAACTGCTAGTAGCCTCTTTTAGTTTAGCTGAATGAACTGATGAGATAAACAAACAAAAAAACTATTGTATTCCGTATCAACAGGTGATAGGTATCTATACAGTAGCTTAATAATTAAATTATTTAGTACTACAGGCATGTATGTAGTGGGATTTATATAGCACATAATACCGAGGGCTCTATGCGCTGATGTATACTGGACGTCCTAATATCAGCGTTGGTTTTTCATGACACACTTTTTAGAATCTAGAATACACGTAGCTACCTCCAATGAAGCTAGGTAGCAGTAGCCATGTGTATGCATAAACAACAGGGTAATGTTTAAAACCCTGAAGGCAGACTGTTTTGTAGATAGACACACCAGTTCAGATACTATGTAGACACAATGGTTAATAATTCCTTAAATTCGTCATCTTCAGTATAGTGAGAGATTAAGACATCTGAATCTACCAACCTTAAGGTTCAGTTTAGCGGGTTTTTAACAAGAAATGAAGCTACATTCACTAGAGGTCACCAATCAAAAATTCAGAAAGTCCATGCGAAATCTCGACAAAACGCATTTTCGTTTAGAACAATCAATTGTTGGAACCCTTTACCAAACTTGATACTAGTGAACTCTCTTACATACAATTAACCAATTCAAAAACCGTCTACAAAAACACTGGTCTACCCCCCACTAAAGTCCAACCCGTATGCACCTAAAGAAATATAGTTTCACGTCTCTATATCCAGGTAGATAATATTCAATTGTCAGGTTTTATGTGTATTAAATTTTGTGTAGTCAACTGGATAGTGTCTTTGGATAGCATACCACTCTTGTTTGCTTCGTCAGGAATAAGTTGCTGGGTGTAATTGAGTAGTCAGAATAAAAGGTCAAACTCCAATTCTAATCACAACATGTAATCATAAAACATTGGACGCTTAAATTTTGGAACAACGCCAATTTTGCTTAGTAGTTTATTTTAATTATTTTTCTTTTCATTTATTATACTCAGTTATATATTTCATACAATTTAATACATTAAATCACCTGCTGTGTCATCATTTGACCTCCAATGGAATTGGTGATATTCGTCTGGAGAAGCGGTGAAGCATCAAAGTCATTGAAAGTAAAAACTTCACATTAATAATGTTGTGGGGTGGAGGTATACATTTATCAGGTACCCGCTTCAGTTATTTTTATTATGTTATCATTACTAATTATATTATCACCTATTTATAATTCAAAATTCTGTCATGGATTTCCCCTTACATAAGTTGTCATAAATGTCATTATGATGATACTTTTCATAAATGAAATCTCAAAATGTTCCTTTGTTTAAATGTAATTTCTGTAATCATCAGTGCAGTTATGTTGCTATGGAGTTCTGATGTTGTATTGTAATGTTCATACATTACAATATATAACTACATGGAAATCTATTAACAACGGCTTTGCAGTTGATGAATTATTTAAGGTCTAATATCATAGAGATTTCACTTGCGTTTTGATTTAGATGTTTGACCACATTTTCCTGAAATGGCTCTTCCATCATTTGCACTAGTTTTTCTGACATTTAATATATAACTCTTTACTAGTACAATTTTAAAGGCAGTACACAATCAGAGACATGTGATGGTTCCATCCTTTGTGGGGGGGGGGGAGAGGGGTGATTTCTCATGACTATCATAAATTACATTTCAGCATTTCAGTTGAGACACTAGGACAGCAGGAACTGGAATTGAACCAGTGACCACAGACCTGACAGCACCTCCACGGTTCAGAGCAAGCACTGGCTACTATCAGTATCGCCGTTTGAGCTTACTGTAGCTGCTGTCCCTGATGCATATATGCATGACTACTTTACCTCTTAGACAAAGCTGATACAGCTTAGCGTGTTCTTGTTGAGACTGGGAGTCACTGGCCATTTCACTTTAACTTCATTTACTTGCCCAACCTACAAAAAGAAAATAAAATTTCATCAAAATTAAACCAAAATAAAATTGTAATTATTTTTTTAAAAGAATATAAAAGTATTGGCTTATTTTAAGTATCAAGTACAAATATTACTTGCGATCAAGATAGCAATGACGGATACAGTAGAAAAGCAATTACAGAGTATAAGCAAATGTGTGGTTGGGTGGATTTGTGTGTCATGGAAGGATGTGACTGAGCGGCTCTCTGCAGCAGCTATGATACTCACTGACCACGCAATTCATCACAATGATGGCGACCTACTGTACGGGTTAATTAATTGTCTACCGTTACCTTTGCCTACTATTACCTTTGCCTATATTCACATGGGTTTAACAGAAGGTAAGTATTTGAACTGACTGAATAGGTCTAGTTTGAAAATTTTAAGCCACAAAACCTAACATTATCCTGAATCTGTATACCAAAATATTGATACTCAAATAATATGTAGTTGTCTACTGTACAGTAGTTGTAATATAACTAAAAACTACTTTTAGGACTGGGGTTTTCATAGTCTTTAGCAGTTTTGGTCTCTAAGTATAACAATATAGATTTTTAAATTCTATTGACTTTCTAGATTCTTAAGCTATACAGTAAGTATAATCTAAGTATTTTACTAGCAATATCAAAAGACAAAATCCTAATATATGAATGATAATGTTGTAACTTCCTGTAGTAATTAAAAAAAAAAAAAATTAATTTATTTGATTATAACCATGTAGTTGGAAATTAATTGTGAAAATTAATTGTATTTATATTAGAATAGTTAGAATAATGACTACTATATAAATTATACGGTAGTTACATAGTTACTTCTATTTTTGTGGAAATTAATTTTATTTATATTAACAGGTTAGATTAATGACTATTATATTAATTATATGGTAGTTACATAGTTACTTCTATTTTTTTTGGACTAAAAGAAACAGTAAATAACATTTTTTTAAAAATATTCATGACCAATAAAATCAACTCACATATCCTCTCCACACACTTTAGCACATACAATAAGGCCATCCTGTATGCCTAAACTGTAGCACTTCTTAAATGGTTTTAATTTACAACAACCAAAAGGATATTAGAAGTCATGAATATTACCATTTAAATAACACAAGAAAAAACACAATGGTAACTTCAAAACACTAGTACTTCGACTTCGAAAAATAATACACGCTTCACTGCTTGTACACACAATTCTAATGATCAATACAGAAACTATTTGCCCAAATTAGTGATATGTGACTAGCTGTACACAGTACTAAGAACAACCAAAGATACAAGATAAAATTTATTTTCTCCAGTTAAAATAAACGAAGAAATTGCAATGCTCACAAAAAGAACAATTACAAGAAATCACATTAAAATACTGTAGTTCAGAACTTCAAAACTAAAATTGTCACTTAAGCCCTTTTCAGACAGAGCTGCAATACCGCAATATTGCAGTAAGCACTCCGGCATGGGTTTCTGTCTGAAAGGGTCAATACGCCAACATGCCGGCTAGCTTTAGGCCACCTTGAAATATAGTAATATTGCTGCAAATATTGTGGTAACGGTTACTGGCTTGCTCTGTCTGAAAGGACCTACTCGATATTGCGGCAATCAAACCGGTGTGTGCATTTACGTATTTAACAAGTAAGGCTAAAGTTAAAACCAATTGCATGGATTTTAAAAGCCAATATTACGCCATTCTATAGGACCCTTTCAGACAGAAAAGCGTAAGATTACCGCACTATTCCGGTAATAAAGGTGCTGTGTGAAAGGGTATAGGCCGGTTATTATGCCGGCATGCTTACCGCAATATTGCGGCAACGTCTATCTGAAAGGGGCTATATTGTGGTGGTCAAAGTACGGAATATAAATAAAATGAAGAAACAACTAAAAATATCATAATAAGACAATATGATACAAGATGCTGGTTTATTTTAAAAGGAAATTACATGTTCATCGTTAGTCAATATTCAACTCATTAACAACATTAACAACAACAACAACAACAACAACAACAACAACAACAATACAATAATATTAATAATAATAATAATAGGTTGATTTATTAGGTGCAAATAAACAAGGTCTCTAAGGGCCAGTCACAAATTTTGGTAACAGTTACAGTAGTTACAATGGTACTGGATTTTAAGCTATTGTAATTTAGACAGTGCAAACACTTAGGCAAGTTACAGTAGAGATCCCTTTAAACAAAAAATCACTGGAGTTAATAATACAGATCGTAAAAAATATGTCAATTCTATTCTGCCAATCACCCAGGGTTCACATAGTAACAGCATCCGCTGTGAACTCAACTGCTAAAAATAGCCGATGGGCAAATGTTCTGACCGGGGCTGAGGCTATGACAGTAATTTGAGGGTATTGTAGTTAGTAGTATCTCCATGAGTCATCAGGGGTGGATACAGAATATTAAAAAGAGAGCAATTGAGGCCACAGTTTAAAAATGGTTTTTAATAAAATTTATTTTTATATTTTAAATGTTTGTTCCCTCTCTCCTCCACTAATTCTCCCCTCCATGAAGCCACATGAGTGATAAGCAAACACTCCAAAACAATTATCTGAATGTAAAATTAAGCCACTTTTCTCAAAGGTGACAGTAATATTTAAGGTAATTTAGTAATAAAATGTATAAAAAAAACTGTTTACAATGTTATTTCCTTCCTAAAAAAAGGTGTGAAAATGATAGCGTTTTGCTGAATATCTCACTATCAATTTTCCCAAACTCTTTAATACTACAGCTTTCCAAAAATGTTACGCAACAGTAAACATTGATTATTGCCATATTTATAGAAATCATGTCATTACGGTATAACAACAGGGAAAATCCAATAGTAGTACAGGTATTAACAATTCAACATTACAGAAATGTTAGTGTAGCAAGAAACTTGTGACAAATGTCTTATGGAATGAGATGGCAACAATGTTACAAACATTAATGCGATCTGAAAATCATAATAATTTTTTTATGATATATTTTATTAAGAAGTTTAATGAGGAAAATCCTTGTCAGCTATATTAAATAATCTTACCAAAAACATTCATTTATGAGTAAAGGTGACTGTGAAATATTATTTTACTGTACATATTGAATCACGATGGCTTGCATCATGTTCTTTGGCATTTGTTTCATTGTTAGGCAGTTTTTGCCGCACAATGTTAGCGTTAACTTTAACAACAGTACCCAACATGCAACACGATAGCTCCGCCCCTTTTGGAAACAAATCAAAATATGCGTGTTCAAACCTGTAACTAACAAACTGTACGTCGAGCACGTAAAATCCTGAAATTAAAGTACTATGCAACGCAAGATGAATAAACTATGATGTCATCCGTTGAGGTTAATGTTGTGCGGCGCAAAACTACCTATTATTCCATGCCAATCCTAATGTCAGTACACCCCATGGATGTAAAGTACCACCGTCTACATAAAATTGCATTACCTGAAATTTGAAAGGTTAATAAAGCTTAGCAATGTAATTTTCTCATTTGAAGATTTAAAAAAAACAAAAAAAACTTAAACTATACAAGACTAAAAACTGGATAAATTCTAAAAACCTGTCTGATGAATTTCAAAAATATATTAAAATACTGTTATTACTGTTACTGTAATAATATTGATACGATTGAACATATGGGAAAGAAATCCTATGTACAGTATTTAATAAGTTGATCAAGAATAAAGTAGGGGGAAATTGTAAATTTAATCCAAAATTATGGTTAATAAAAATAACCATTAACCATCAATCAAAATTTTAGGCTGTTAACAGTTTAAAAATGATAAAGCTACTGTAATACTGTATAATGGTAATGGTTTGGGACTTGTAAAGCGCATACTACATGGTCTCTATGCGCTATAAGTTACACAAAAGAAACAAACCAAAAACTAAATTATTAAGTCTAACCAAGCGACCTAAAAAAAAAAAAAAAAATCAGAAACAGACTACCGCAGGGAACCAACATCACCGCACCATTTTCCTGCAATTTGAGACCACTGGCAAGTTGGTTTGTATACTGTATGCTTCACCAATTCAAAATGATAATGTTAAAAGCATAACCAAAATATATTTAAAAAAATGCTAAACACATATGGAAAATTATAAACAACCAATCAAACAAATGACACAAACATCCATGTACTACAGTACTGTATACTACAGGTTTGCATGTCATTGAAACTGATTCTCAATTCAATTTTTGTGACGCATAATACAAGACAGGAAAAGTGTTCAGAAAAATAAGGAGAGACAAAATAAAAACTGCACAACAATAAAAAACCAGATTAAACCCAAGATAAAAGATTTAAATTGAACTGAACTGAAAAGGGGGATTTCTTTCAGCAACCAAACAGCTGTGTCAATGCATGGACACTAAATTTATTGTGGGACATGAATGGGTAATAATATGTTATGTTTTATCTGATAATGACCTTTACACTATCAGATAACAAGGAAATGTAGGGGGTTAGTCATAGTACGCCAAGAACATCAAAAACCATTGTCACTATCTTCAACCAACCACAATCACCACTTAATACTACAAGTGTAAAATGATGTCTAGCTTACAAAATTTAACATCAGTTATAGGGATGTAGCTATGGAGGGCAGGGAAGATTTCCACTCAGCATTAAAGATTTACACCCAGTCTAAAGCAAATTTCATTGCCCTACCATACTCCCTTGCAATCCTTAAAATCCACTCTTATTATTTACAGTTTACCAAAGTTATCACCTACTGTACCCACCCTTAAAATGTCTACCATTCACCCTTAGATTTTTATAGCTACAACTCTGTAAATACGAGTTTGTTTCGATCTCTCATCCTTGATATTGGGATTTTGAATTTTTACTGTGCACAAATGTTCCTGAAACTTTCCACAATCACATTGCCTCCCTCTCATCCAGGAGTGTTAGTAGGTACCAGGTATGTTATTTGTTACTTATTTCTTCTATAGCGTTTTTTCCTTGAGGTTACAAAGCGCTAAATACAGTACCCTCCTCCACTATAATTAATATTTCCCCCAAGAACAGCCCACCCCAACCAAATCGAACAGAGTATGCTTTCATGAGTCCATAGACGAAAGTAAATTAATGGTAATACAGAATAAAAATTTTAAAAAATATGTACAAAGACAACCTAACCCAGTCTGATTATGCTCTAACTCAATTAAAAAGATTGGGATTTTTTTTAAAGACATGCCTTAAGCTGACAAGTGAAATTCTTTAATGGAAGGAGGAAGGATTCCATTATCGAGCAGCAATAGATGGAAAAGAATCGTCACCAACATGCTTAAACTTTAGTCTACAGTAACAAGATGTATGGTGGAGGCCGATCAAGTTGATCGTAAACATGTACGAATGCTAGAATGCCATTGTGCTAAATGTAAATTAGTCCTCCAGGGAGCCGAGTACAGTATGTGTTTAACACTGGCCTGTCTAATCCAGTGGAAGCACATAGAGGTACTAGCATAATGCTCTACAATCTATTATTACCATTTTAATGCATGGTAGATTACAAATTGTTGAATTACTTTCATCAGAGATAAACAGGTAGTCAATCTAAAGCATTAATAGATACTGCCATCAAATATTTTAAAGCAATTTGGATAGAGGTCAAATTTATCTGGGGTTAACAAATCAAATAATTCAATTCCTTCAGGTCTTTTGACTACCAGTTAAAACTCACACTAAATGAAGCTGTCTAGATCCAAGACTAGTTAGGCAGCCAATGTCTAAAGACTAATAAATATGTAATGCATACAGTAAATACTGTACCACATCCACTTGTTTTTAACCTAGTTTGATTGAATTGAAACATAACCACAAAAAAAAAAAAAAAACTAACAATACAGTTCTTCAGTATAATATATGAGTTTTCATACATACAGTGAGTGTTAGCAATATGAAGCAACATGAGCTAGTATTTTAGGCCTAATTAACATCTAAAAAGAAAAAAATAGAAAATAGGCCTAGCCTAGGCCCTATGCTATCTCTTCCCAACAACAATCAATAACTAACTCTATATAGGGCTAGGCCTAGCCTGGCCTATACGCCTAGCTACTAGTAGTATAAACAAATGATACATTACAGACAGGAATTGATGATACAAAACATTTTAACAACTGATGTGAATAATGCTCTATATCCAATACATTGGATTAACTGACGTAATTCCCTATCGTTCCACAAGGATGAAGTCATTCTATCCTAGGCTTAGGCCTTATGTGGTCGGCCCATGTTGTGTCAACCAGGCCATGATTAAACAACGACGGGAGTACCCTGTATGTATTACAAAACGCTACCTTGCCCACCATACCATACGTACGATTGTCCGTTGGGCCTAGGCCTAGACTGACAATCAAATTATAGTACATTAACAAATATCAGTAAATTACCGGGCATATAATTCCCTTCTACAGCAAAAGACAAATCCCATTGACGTCTGACTTTTTGAGTATTTAAAATGATGAACCAACAATTGCAGTTATTGGAATAATTATTATCTATCCGTTTTCTATCCGCTTGAAGGTAGCTGCTCGATGGTAGAAGTCCTGTTACAGGTCACGTGATCACGTGATGACGACACAACCCAGTGACGAAGCTAATGACAAGTTTGTCACTATTATTATATCGGCATGATGTAAGAGATTCGAGCATTAATTATTATTTTTATTATATTAGTACAGTTCTCCCTCTAATTAAAGCCTCCTTTAAAAAACAAAGCACCTCAAATTTAAAACCATGTTTCTGCAGCCTGAACACCTACCTTATCTTTTTCTAGAACAAGCTGGATATAAAGTAGGCCTAAGACCATGGAAACCAGGACTTCCCGAAAGTGATATTTTAAATAGGAGGGAGATCTTTAAATTTCTAATTTCGTCGATGATTCTAAGAGAATTTGATATTCAACTACAGTCATAAATTTTAGTTGTAGTAGGCGTCAACATTTGATAATAGAAGGCATAGGCTAATTTATTAAAGTTTCTGTGCAACATTAACCGTTTCACAGAAATAAAAAGCGACATAGTTTTAAAATTAATCAAAATACTTTGTTTCCATGTAATGGCACTGACAGCATGCTGTATTAAATTTGAAAGTATATCACCAGTTATAAGAGTAAGAAGCAACAATAGAAGAGCTGGAACATACTCGGTTTCTAATTTAATTTTTAAAATGATTGTTAATGATGTATTAATAAAAAATGAGTATTATTATGAGCATATTATGAATCATCAGCCTATATTAATGTTGACAAATAATTTCAATGTTATTTACTTCTATCAGTATTGTATTTCAGACGTAATTCAATTATATAATTAATCGAATGCAAACGAATTGTCATGATGCGTAAAGTTGGAATTGAGGGCGCACTCGTAATATTCTCAATTTTTACAAAAGGGGGAACGAAACTATATTTCTGGAGAACAAATTGTTTCATATTTTTAGGGGCTCCGTATATCAAACAGTAAAAGAACAATTAAATTATTAAAATACATGTTTTTACATATTTCTCCATTAAGTGATTTACAATATTATTAATTACGTGTATTCTACTACACCTTGAGAAAATTTAACGTGTCCTAAGTGGAAGGACAACTATGGTCTTATAATCAAAGATGGCCCCACGGTCCCGATGGGGGATACGTTTTTCTCAGATCGTTTTAAAATGTAAGATCAATATCCACACTGTGGGTAAAAAAAATCAGACCCAGTGACGGAATCATGAATTGGAAATAGAGGGGGCCCAGTGAGGGATTACACAGCCTATGGGGTCTAGACCACAAAAAAGTTTGGGGTTGAGGTCCACCAAGGTTGGGCTGAAGTAAGAACAATTAATGATGGGCGCACCTCTACTAGATGGTGGGAAATTCCAGTGTCAGAAATTTAACATAATGGGAGGGGGAGGGGAACTGCTTTTGGGTCTCCCTTGAATCCGACACTCAGAACTTTTGATTGATTAGCATTATTGGATTTTTGCTGGTGATGATTTATTGGTGGAGGCGCATATCCTGACTGGAGAAAATCGTACCTTTGATTTCATGGGCAAGTAGGCCCTTGACCCAGCTGACTGAACCGTCAAAGTTCTGGCCTACGTCTACGATGATCAAAACAATAAAAGAAGTGGGTGTATTGCGGAAGTCACAATCCGTAAAGCCGATTAAATGAATGGAGATATTCATGACCGACTTCTCTCAAAGCACATGATTGGAAAAGGACCAATCCTGCGCTTTCCTCACTTCTCCGCCATTAAGTTTTTTTTTAGCAACAAAGGGCGCTCTTCATTGATGATAAGTAGAGTTCCTATATAGAGATACATGAACTCTAATGGTAAGTGTCTGAGTCACACCACTATTATGATTCTTAGTATCAAAGGTCATTCTTTTGCGTAGAAATATATGAATGTGTAATTTACATGCGATGTTGTTAGGCGTGCCAAATACACCCATCCCCATGTACAAATCACCCATCCCCATTAAAGCTCACCCCCCCCCCGAGACG